TTCTTTCTTTCTTTCTTTCTTTCTTTCTTTCTTTCTTTCTTTCTTTCCTTTCTTCTTCCTTCCTTCCTTTTTTCCTTCTTTCCTTCCTTTCTTCCTTCTTTCTTTCTTTCTTTCATTAATTTTTTTTTAACTTCATTCTGAACAAATGCTGTCAGTTAAACCGTCTACCTGCAGGTGCCTCTTAGTGTCAGGAGTGGGGCATTTTCAAGACTAAGTACCAGTCACTAGGTCTGCTCTGTAAACTACCCCCACCGTAGGTTCAAAACACCATCTGTGTGTAATAAGTGGCAAGTGCTGGTGTCAGGCTCGTCTGTGAAGAATGTCTTCTGGTTTGCCAGCCTGTGACCTTGTGACTACAATGGACCCAAGCAAAGGGGAAGGAATGTGCTTTATAAACAGAGACAAGGATACAGTGTGGTTGGCATCCTTTGAGATGAAAATGTTGCTTTTGTGTTGCTTTAGATCTTTAAACCTTGGGTACACAAAGCTCTGTAAGTTTTTTTTCTTGGAAGAATTTGAGCATTCCAGGTTCCTTTCCCCAAGTTCTTTAATTTTTTTTATCAGCGTATAGTAATTACACATAATGAAGGTTCTATTATGACTTTTCATGCATGTATATATGAAGCATTTTTATCATCTTCACCTCCCATTACCTACTTTCGTTCCCCTCTAATCTGGCTGATCCCTTTACTCCTCCCAGGTAGCTCCCTTTCTAGTCTCATGGTGTGTGTGTGTGTGTGTGCGCGCGCACATGTGTGTCTCCCAGTGATTTTCATTAAGGTCTCTTACAAGAGTGTGGCTAAGGGTTTGTTCGTAAGAGCCTTGGTACATTAGCCCTGGCTATACCACTGAAGAGAAGGCTAGACTCCTTGATAGGAAGAGATTCTTTCTACAGTAGAATGAGCCTTCGCAGGCAGACATTTGCTCAGTTGAGATAATCATCTGTTTCCCTCATCAGTCTACATGCTGTCTTAAGCTGAGTATTGAGGAAAGCTTATGTGGCCTTAGAAAGAAAAGACATTGCTTTAACAAGAAAAAGCTAGACAGCAGTCTCTACATGTCTCTTCAAGTACCGTATGTAAATCATATTTAAAAATCAAATTATGCATGTGTTACAAAGGAGAAAACTACATAAATGTGCAATAGGAAAATAATATACTGTATCATTTTGGTTAGTTAAGTAATTATTCCCTCTTTATAGACTACAATTCTGTTTGATTTTCATCATAAAAACAGGTGGGGTTTGTTGACTGTTTATTATGACTGTTAGCTTGAAATTCTGTTGAAAACAATTCTGAAGATCATTCTTGTCATTTTAGAATGTGTCACCCTCTTCCTTTACCCTATAGAAAGATTTCATTGCCTCCATAATATGCTAATAAAAGTATAAAAGAGAAGGACTGGAAGGAGATAAACTAGTTCATAGAAGCATCAGATTTGAAAGACACTTAATGTAATCCCTAAATTTGCTTCAGTAACAATACTACAAATACATTCTGCTGTTTATCACAAATATGTTAAGGCATAGACAAGAGTGACTTTAGTAGCTAGTGATGGAGGTTTGGGACTGTGACGATTCCAGTGAGCCCTCAGGCTCAGCTGCACATCTGGTCACTGTGTCTGCTAATCATGGTCACTAAGGAGTCTAGCCAAATATTAGGAACCCTACAAGAGAATGAACCAAAAAGCCAAGCTGTCTGAGAGCACTGAATGTGAGAGAATGTAAAGGTAAAGACCATGTTGGAGGAACATGGGTAACTCACAGATGTAAGACTCCAGCAGTGGAATGGCTTACAAGCATCCAGTGAATGGTGGTATAACGCACCTTTAATCTTAGCACCCAAGAAGCAGGGACAGGTGGATTTCTGAGCTCGAGGCCAGCCTTGTCTTTTTTGTTGTTGTTGGATTTCTTTGTCTTTTTAAATTTTAATTGTATATTTTACAATTTGCGCATTATATATCCCGATTGAAGCCCCCTCCTTGAACTCCTTCCAGTCCTACACTCCCTCCCTTTTCCCCTTATCCTCTTCCCCTAGTCCACTGAAAGAGGGAGTTCTCCTTTTCCACCTGCCCATTGCTTATCTAATATAGGATAGCCATACTAAAATCTATAGACCTCAAGAAGCTAAACACTAAGGAGGACCCTAGGGAGGATGCTTAAATCTCAGCCTGGTCTTTATAGCAAAGCTACATAGAAAAACCCTGTCTCAAACAAAACAAAACAAAAAATAAGAAAACAAAAACAAAGAAGAAAAGACCATTTGTCTCTGTGGCTAATGGGACCAAGCACAGACACACACAGAGGGTCAGATAAAAG